AGTGTCTCAGTTCAGAGTTAAATACTGCATACCAATTACTTTTTTCATGACTGACAGCCACAGATTCAAGGCTTTAAAGAAAGGCTAACTTTTATTCACAACTTATCTTACGAGTAACAGGTCTGGTCTCATATGTGGCATCTGACCACCTTCTTCAGCATACAGGAATAGGCACTAGCTAACTTAATTTCTAGACCCTGAAGTGTCAGTAAACAGTTTCACTGTTTTAAGGAAATCATTTTTCACACAATAGGTGTGGAGTATGCAACAGCAATTCATCCAGTTTGGCACTGGTAACTTTTAACACCGATTACTGGACAATACCTATTCATGATCTGTTCTCATTTAAAAATTTAAATTTCATTTTTATTTCAAGAACTAGAAATGCCAACCTCAGATACAAGTTATTTATTATGCTTTAGTTATTGATATCTATAGTTATTAGTTGCAATCAGTTATTAATACTAAACATGTTTATGGTTTTTTAGTTCCTATTTGAGGATGTTTAGTGGGTTTTAGTTATTTGTATGTAATTTTATACATGTTCAAATGTATAAACTTGCCATTATTTCTTTAATCCTAAATTATTTGTTGGTAAAAAGAAGACATTCAAATACATAAAAATTAGATGTAGACATATGGAGAACTAAATTTTTTCTACTTAAAATTGTACTTTATCCTTTATTTTAAAACAAGGAAATAATTTTTCTGGGCATCTCAATTTTCAGACAATCTTCATCATTGTGAAAATTCATTTTGCCCTTAACCAAAATAGTGGAATGAAGATGAGATGTCAAATTCTTGTCCTCTCATGTAGTTGCTGAATCTTGCATGGTTAAACTTCTAAAATATTTCAACCATGACATGACAGCATGGACTTTTGTTTGACAAAAAGAACTATTTGTGAATGGTAGCCAAGTCAATAAAATTTTCTTTTTGAAGGGAATTCTACAAGGTTAATATATATTATTGATTCTGCTCTAAAAGACTGAAGTTATATAGTGAGCAGAGTCAGCAAGAAACCATTGTATGAATTTGGGAGATGGTGAAAATCTGGCAATAGTGGTGGGGAAATATCTTTGGTTTCAACAGAAATTCTACTCTCAGTAAAAGCTTTCACTGTTGATCTCTAAATCCAGTTTGTCCTAGGCCACAAGCTTAGCTCTCACCTTCTCCCCTATTCATTGTCTTGGCTCTTGAGCCAGATCTGCTAACAATGGTGGTTATGAGAAGCTGTTGCAGTATCCTAAGAACTGAAGAATTTGCAATTATTTGCATCACTGTTTATCTACTTGTTTCATTGTCTATCCAGTTATATCATTCTGTAATAATATAGAAAAAAAATGCACTTTCCTATTTCAGTCAAAGCACATCATACATTTTAACACATTGAATCATTAAGTATCCTAAAGCATAGGTTAATGACATCCCTATTTTAAAGTTGGAAACCACAGAAATAGATCAGCATTTTTCAAGCACCCACAGACTGTCTCTCATAAAATAAAATTAAAGTATACAAAATTGGTAACGTTTTTTTTTGACAGCTAAGGTCACACAGAGTTGTTAGAGGTGCAGTGTTTAACTGTGGCAATACCAGGAAGAGACCCACACATTTGTCCTGCCTTTTCTCTAAAGTGATTCTAGGGCATGGTAAAGTTATGAAAATGTTATTAAATTGGCATCTGATCAAACATGTGTGCTTTGAACATAGACAAATTTGAATTTATGCACAATTATTTCATTTTCACTCATAATAAAGCAACACATTAGCAAGGCTAAACCTGAAATTGTAGCTTTATATGGACAGTTATCTGCTATCTATAAAAGGCTGTAAAGAAAATAACTTTTTGTTCTACTGACTGTGTTTTGACTATAAATAGAACAAGACAAGAAGTCTTGTTTCAGCTCATGAGCTTGTCCATTCCTGGTGGCCAGATAAGTAAAGTCCTCTTTCAGCAAACCCCTTAAGCTTAGAAGAGCACATTTACACTCTTCCCATCTCCATCATACATAGTGCTTCAATTTAGTCTGTTTCCTTGTTCTAGAAAGAATTAAACTAACCCTAATGATGCTACTGCTCTTGGTTTGTAACTAGAATAGAATACAACAGAAAATAGGACAAGACTAGACTAGACAAGAGTGGACTGGACTAGACTAGACTAGACTAGAAGGTCTAAACTCAGATTTTCATCTGAGTAAAGGAATAATGTTCTAAGGAGCTAAACTTCACTATGGCAAAGGGGTTCATCTCCTGGGAATACAGATTATTATTGATAAGTTTAGATCGAAGAAAGTTTTATGCTAATAATTTTTGCGGCTTTTACTTGACTCAGTTGTGCCAGGTAACAACTGCTTCATTCTTGGGGGCTTTAAGTCCTGTTGAACTTCAATGTGAGTTAGGGGAATTTAGCACTTTAAAAAATTATTCCCGTCATTCCCCACCAGCTCCAGTTTTGAGCAGCTGTGTGCATAGCATCCACTGTTAGCCAGGGAAGCCTACATGGGGAGGCTGCTATCAATGACTTTCCAACATTGGCATGACACATCCACCACAGTCACCTGTAGAGAGGCTGGGAAGTACTGTTCTGTGTAGTGGGTGAGGCAGCAGGGTAGTGCCATAGCCTGCACCACTACCTCCACTCAGGGCTCACACAGGTGCTACAGACCTTGCGCTGATCGACAGTGATTGCAGTTGGGTTTCGCATGGTGAAAACAAGCAGCTAAGTCCTGAATGTTAATCATGGCCCATTGCCTGCTTCCTTGTTTTTATCCCTGTAGGATTTTTCATCCTCTGAAACCAACAAAAAAGATCATATTTTCCTTCAGTTTCTGAAACCCCATCATTTTTTCCCGACTTTCCATTTCACGCTGTTTGAATTTTATTAAGATCTCTTTACACAAAGGCAGAGTACCAGCTATATGATGCCCTGAGGGATCTGAAAAGCTGTTGCCATAATATCACAAAACTCTGGAGACATTTTATTTCTACCAGAAGTTCTTTGGAGGACTCTAGCTAAGGATATAAAATATCTTAAATGTTTACAGCAGGGATCTTGAGCTCCATTGGAATTTAATACAAAAGGTTTGGGTTTTTTTAAATCTATTAATTGGCACATCATGTTAACATTAGTTAATTAATACCTGTCTACAAAATGGACTGTGTTTTATTTACATCTTGAGATGAAGAAAACTGTTTTTAGTCCAGAATTATGGATAATATCATTAATCATTAATTCTTAAGTCTATGACTTTCTTTTTGACATCTCGGTTCGTCATTACTAAGTATTTTTGCCAGGTATTTTTCAGAAGCACCTCTGTTTACTGTTTCTGCCTCCAATACTTTCTGTTCTTCTCAAACACAGACATGCATAAGCTCTTTCTAGGGGGCTGACAGCAGCATGTCTCCTCCAGTGAACAGGCAAAGATTTTGTAAGTGTTAATAAGGTTTTATTTTCACTGGGCAACCTTGAAATCAAAATCAGCTGCTGAATTCTCAACAGCCCCTTATATAGCACAGCAGTCTTGTTCAGATGACTTTTGAAACAAAATTGTTTAGAAAGCTGTATTCTAATTTGACAAAAAGATAAGTCTCATGAAAAAAGGTATTTCATTTTTCAAAAAGCTGTAATATAATAGGGTGTGTGTGTGCTTGCATGTAATAGAGCATGAGATATATTTAAATTATTGTTTAATTTAAATAAGATAGAACTGTATGTTCAACTGCTGGGAAAATCGTGTAAAATTTAATGCATGAATAATCGTAAGAATCTGGGGTGCAGATTTTAAAGATATTGATATTTAGAAACCTGTTAGAATGTTAGACTATTTAGGAGACATTTTTCTAAAATGCTTTGTAATTCTGTATATTTCTGGCTTTCTGGGACCATGTGCTGGGTTATTAGCAAAATTCAATATCCTTAAAAATAATGTAAACATCCAAAATATTAAAGGAATCTGGTGTTTTAAGGCAAATCAAAATCCTTCTGCTGTTCAGCATGTTATGCATCAGTGACTCAAGTCAACAATTTTCTGCCACAGATAACTGAAAATCTTTACAGGAAGCATGAGACCAAATAAAAATGATTTTTGAAAATCTGTTTCTAAAATTGCAAGAAGTCTATAGAAATACAGAAATCAGATACTGATAATATGGTAAACTAATATGAATACGTTGAGTTGCACTACTGTTTAACACCATATACATCCTCCAAGTAATGGTCACACAGTAATCTAACATTATTTTCTACTCCCATTTCCTGTATTTCCCAGCCCTCTTTGTTGTTGCTTTTACCATGTACCACTGTTCTTTTTCAGAATAATGCCACACTGATATCACAGATAAGGATAACAGCAGTAGCTCTCTCAAAAGAAGAAAGTAAATTTTACTTCTGGAGGGTTTTTTCCCTTATTTAATCTTCTTATACAACAGAAATACTGTTCCTATTCTCAAATAGACAGAATGGATTTTGTAATTATCAAGATAGCTTTGGACACTACCCTGCATAAATGTACTGACAGAGACAGTTATAGTTTAACCCTTTTAACGCTGTCTTTCAATACAGCTACTTGGTAGTGATTAACCATAACACCATTTTAATTGGTAAGTGTTCTCTTAAAAGACACAATGTGCTCTGTATTTCTGGCATCAGTTGATTAAAATAATTAAATTTAGCTCCCACTTACCACTGGAGACATTTGGAAAAATGCTGGAAATAACTGACTCTATTACCTCAAGCTTTTATTCCCTGCTAAAACTTCTTTTTCACTATCCAGATGATGATTAAAGCTGAATTTAAAGAATATGTTAATGATTTCTTCCCATCTCTTGGAATATGTCTCTCTCCAATGGTAAAAATAACTGCAGATGTTTGGAATTTCAGAGTTTAACTACAAAAGTTGACATTTTCTACTGTAAGGTGTGCACTATTTTATGAAAGTTAAATAAGAATTAGACAGTACTCATTTTTTTTCCTTTCCGTTCTGCTTAAATCTCTCTGCAGGATGTGTGACACAGGAGAAGGGCTGTTCACCTTTCAAACACGAGAAGGAGAAATGATATATCAGAAAGTCCATTCTGCAACACTGGCAATAGCAGAGCAACACGAAAGATTAATGATGGAAATGGAGCAGAAGGCAAGGGTAAGGTCCTTTTGCCAAAAATCTTTAAACTTACAAAAACTAATAATAAACCAAAGACGTATGGAGTAACAGCAGTCTGTGAATTCAGCTCTAACAATGGTATTTGCTGTGTGGCTAGGACAAAAACGACTTTCAGATTAATGTATTTTCATGGTCTGGGATCTTCAGTACATGCTATACAATGATCTATTGTTGGGGACTTTTTGGAATGGTGACTATCATTAGACATCAGATCCATGGTCACCTTCTTTAAAATTGTGGTTCTGTTGTTCAAAGATTAAGCCTTCAGCTTATATGTTGACTATCAATGAATAAGTCTTAATTGCTCCTCATGGCCTCACAGGTGGGAAAAATCCACTCCTAGGCAGCAGCAGACATGATCTGTTTTTTTTAACTCCTGAAACAAATTACTTACCCTACACTAATTAGCCGTGCACTGTGAGTTCAAAAAGAGCTGCTTTACTACTTTCAGTTCAGAATTTCCAGTTTGCACAAGTTATGTTAAAGTGACTACTATTGAAAAGTTTGGAGTTTTTTAAGACAGCAAGAAAAAAATCTGCCCTGTACGCTTAGAAGTAGAGATGGTCTTTAAAGATCATTCTGGAAAGTTAACTTTCAACTGCGCTTTGAAGCTACCTGTGAGTTCAAAAAGAGCTGCTTTACTACTTTCAGTTCAGAATTTCCAGTTTGCACAAGTTATGTTAAAGTGACTACTATTGAAAAGTTTGGAGTTTTTTAAGACAGCAAGAAAAAAATCTGCCCTGTACGCTTAGAAGTAGAGATGGTCTTTAAAGATCATTCTGGAAAGTTAACTTTCAACTGCGCTTTGAAGCTACCTTTATATTCACAAGAAATATATGGGAAGGCCAAGGCACCTGGTCAGCATGCTCTTCTTCTCAGATGAGTCAGATTCTCCATGTATCTTCTTTTCCCTAGAAAGAGATTTGAGTGTAGTTGTATCATTTCTAGTGGCTCTCTCTTCCTTCCTTCCTTCATCCACATTGTATATGCTCACAGTCATGCAGACACGACTGACGGACTGTGGGGAGATAGGATCACATATGTGTCAAAATATCCTGCTCAAACTCCTGAGTTTCAAAGAGCAACCTAAGACCCCAAAGTTCAACTTCGAATTACTCCTCAGATAACTCTATCTTCCTCTATTCACTGAAAAATAAGCTTGAAAAAGACTTAGATTTCCATGTCAAAAGTCTATTATGTTGAATGTTCCTCTTAGTCTCTGCATGTCTGTAAGGAAAATCTGAGTTGGGAAGCCATAAAAAAAGCACTTTTTTGGTTGTTTATGAAGAAATGTAGATGAGTTTTTCCATAAAGCTAGACAAAGTAGGAGTATTTGCATAATAGTTGAGATGTACAAACTTTGGACAGAAAATGTAGGAAGAGAAGAGTTCACAATCAAGATTAAAATAAGGTTAGGGATACAGGAGCAATTGCTGGAAAGCTGAACACAAGACAATAAATGGAAATGCATGTGAAGTAGAAGTGTTGGCAAAATTCCAACTGCATTCTGCTGGGCAGAAAGTGATTGATTAACAGTAAAAAAGCAGAAAAGCATCATTATAAATATGTTTGCTTTTAAAGTGTCCACACCACTAACAGAAATTAGAACATTTTCATGCTGCTGTAATAAGTGCTTAGACCAGGATCATACAGGATTTTCCTTTTACAGAACCATCACTTTCAGCATTACCACCTGTCAATTAGCAGCTTTGCTGCTTAGTAAAGCCATTTCCATTCTGTCATCAGATGACTTCCCTGAAACATCATTTTTGAAGGCTGTGGCCATATGGTACGTAATATCAAACTCCGAGACCAGGCTGAGAAATAGAAATGACTCATCAGCCATGCAGAGTATGATGTACTTGGCTCCTGGATGAGGCTGCGCTGTGATCTGCAGAGGGAGATCTGTAGAGGCCCACATAGGCTGCTGTGGACTGTGTAAAAGAGGCCAAAAAAGCTGTTGATTTTATACTTCAATAAGCTAGTGTTGGTTTGGGTTTGGAATCTATACTGCTCCTGACTGATGGGGTGCTGAATGTTTAAGAGGTCATCTGTGTCATCTGCAGCATTTGAGTTGTATTCATCTTATTCATATTAGAAACAAAATCTGAAGATATTGAATAAGCTAAGTAAGTGTTATATACCTTTTATCAAGTATAATTTCCTCTCCCATATCTAATTCCAACAGTTTCATCAAATACCTATGTATATTTTTTTCCCATAAGATCTGAAATTGAAATATAAGCAAGAGGATCTTTTAAATAGGGGATTTAGAGGCCATAAATGTCTTTCAGGTCTTCCCAAAGCTTGACATTTGATCCTTTTATCTATAGATCTATATTTGAGAGTTTTTGCTCTTTCCTGACTATTTCTGTAATGAACAGCTCAGGTTTAATAGTGTTGAATTAATTTTTTTGATAGATAAAAACAAAAGAAATGTTTTAAAGTAAAGAAAGCTTAATGGTAATCTATTATTGTGCTATTGTACAAATCACAAAAAGGAAAGAAATGTAACAGTAATCTTTGCTTCTTCCTTCCAATCATTAGAAGTCATATATTAGAAAGGACTCTTGAATATTTGTGTGTTCTGTCATAAATGTTAATCTATTTTGAGTAACGAATACACTGAATTTTATTTAGGTTTTCCAGATTAAAATAGGTTAGAATATAGCATTATATAAATTGAATTAAGCTTGTAAAAGAAATTAAAGTGAATTTTTTTACCAAAGCAACCTGGATGAAATATATGGATTATGGTTAGTTTTCATAATGAATATACAAAGTGCATCATGCTAATAAAAAAAAAGCAAACACACACAAAAAAAAAAAAAAAAAACACAGAAAAACATCAGAAACAAATTGTGGCAGAAGAAGAAAGGTAAAATTAGTTACTGCCACCAGAGACTTGACAGATAAAGGCATTGCAGGCAGCCACAGGCCACATTTACTCCATTTATAGAGGTCTCTGCACACCAAAATTCTGTTTCAGAATGCTAAACAATAAATTCACTTTTATGCTAAGAAATCTGTTGCTCAAGCCAAGTAACATGCTGGATAACTATGTTAATAAGAGAGAGACATGAAAAGAAAACTAATTCTTCCCACTACCTTTGAAAGAGCATGGACTGGAAGCAAAATTGTGCTGTGACAGCTCATGCAGTATGAAGTCTGCGTCATTGTCACCTCAAGCAGGAGAAGCTGGTCAGTTTAAGTAGGCAGTTGTGTGCACACTTTCATCTTCTGCCCATTCCTCTTTCACATTATAACACTGGAAGCTGAAATATGACATCAATAGGCTCTGGCATAAGTGTGGATTTCAGTTGGTTATTGGTTTTACTGAGATCAAAGCAGACTGGATTTTATTCAAATATCAGAGCAAAGTGGCCAGTGATCAAATTTAGTGCAGGTGGTTTTCCTGATTGAGGTTTAAACATTACATAGACAAAGTGATAGTGTTGTATGCTTGATTTGGTCAGGACAACAACAAAATTGGCCCAATGCTAGCTCTTAAATTGAAATTCTTTTCAGGGAAATTGTTATCAGTATAGTCACTTTTTTCAGTCTTTGCTTTTTTGATGGATCAGTGTAATACAGATAATAATTCTGTTTTGTCGTTGTTTTGTGGGAGAGGGCAATATTGCAATTTTTTTTCAGTGGTTTCAGTTTCAACATAACAAATTAATTAAAAAAGAACAATGGCTGTCTTTCTGTTTACAAGACTGTATTTTGTGGTGTTGTGTTATCCATATGAGAGTGTCAGCAACTGTGGTTTTATCATCTGAATAATCTGCATTCTTACAAACCTCTTGGCTCTTACCTCTCTCTCCCCCTCTCCACCCCACAAACACACATAGCCCCTGGGGTTCTTTTTCATGTAACATTTAGAAATTTGGTTGTATTTATTGTCAGTCTTGAATTTTTTGTGACAAAGAAAAAAGTGTTAGCCTCAAGAATAGCGTGTATCCCCACTAACTGTAGTCTGATGTTGAGCATGGAAGATGTGTGTGAGTGTCTAACTGTCAGCTCTATCCCCCCTCCCCTATCCCCAGGCTGCACTGCAAGCTCCTTCCGCTTCCTTTCTGTTAGCTGAGGTCCTTATCTGACTTGGTGCGTCAAATCAGTTTGATAATTTGGCCAAAAAAAACCCCAAAAGTACCTAGCTAATAGGAGCAAGATTCTGCAGGTTTACTGAACTGAACTGGTTTACAGAGGTAGCAGTAAACTTTTTTGAAAGCATCTCAGTTCAGGTAGTTTTCACACACCAGCATATGAACAGTAGTTCTCAGCAGCACTTTTCTATCTAACCCCTACAACAGGATGACTATGTGGCATTGGAATTTTAAAACCCGATTTTCCTCTCTAGTGCCAGCTTTGATCTTCTGCCACTCAACCTCCACTGCAAACACTCCTGATGTAACCTCTGCCCCCACTGTTGTTCAGATGTATAAAAAGGGGGTTACGAGCAGTAGATTTCATATGTTATGTCTACATGTATTACGGTGGCATGCTGAAGAAGTACTCATACCTTTGCAGCACTATAAATTGCTTCTTTCAAGAGCTGCCAGTAAAAACTTATTATGTAGTCTCAAAAGAATAAAATTTTACAATGTGTAAAAAGATAATTCTAACTAAGATAACACTAAAGCTGATGTTAACCAGCTGAAATTAATCAAACATCAGTAACACTGAAGTATAAATGCAGAAATAAATTATAATGGCCTAAGTTTCATAACTTATTATCATTGGAAATTTTCTATGACACTTGTTTTACTTTAGACAGCAGAGCTATAAAAATGCCATTTTAGATTGTGATCTTTTTAACATTTCCCAGAAGATAAACACCTTTATGAAACATTGTGTCTGTATATTTTTCTTCTATTCTCATTATTTACAAGTCTTATCTTGAATATTAAACGTAATGTAAGTGAAAGAGTCGTCATGATAGATTGTTGTCATTAAAAAAATATAGTACCAATGAG